GGCCCTACCCTGCCTGGGGAGTGGAGGGTGGATGGGGTGGGGGGTAGGTCGGGGTGGGGTAGCAGGGGTGAGGGTGAGGGGAGGGAGAGGGAGAAGGGATTGACATGTGAAACAAGCTTGTTCCTAATTTGAACTAATAATAATAATAAAAAAGAACAAAGAAACCCTCAGAACTTTCCAGTTCTAGAGCAGATTTTAGGTAGTGATTTAACAGGACACAGGCAAAGGCAATCTGACCTGTTTCCAATGCCTGACGCCATAGCATCTTCAACCACACCACCTCTTAAGTGACATTCAACCTCTACCTTCCATCTCATCTCACTCCTTTTCTTTCCAAAGCAGCTTCGTTTTGTTTGTTTGTTTGTTTGTTTTTCCTTAAGCATCCAGTGGTAGGCATTTACTAATAGTAAAGTTTCATTCTTCTTACAAAGTAATATTGTTTTCTAATTCACAAATGCATCTAAAAGAGAAAGTGGAAGTAAAAAAAAAAAAACACTGTTAGGACATTGTATATATGGTTTTATATATGCATACATCTTTGAAAAGAGAACCAGTGATTATTATAAGGCACAATAGAACATTATCAAATTGTAATAAAAAGGGATTAATTAACCAAATACATTTTAGTAAAATCTACATTGGTTATGGGCAAATGAACTTCAGTGTTTGGCTAGTTTGGGTTTCCCAATGTCAGACCAGAATGCACCTGAAGTCTTTATTAAGGGGTGGAAGAATCAGTGATAAGAGAATGAAGAATGAAGACAGCAAAAGCATACAACCAGAAAAAGGTGTGTTACCTGAAGCTTATTCCATATGAGGACTTTGGGGAGTTACTTAGGGCCCCCAAGGAGGGGGGAAATGCTGAGGGTCTCTCCTAGGGAGTGTTAATTTCCAGGTGGAAGATTTCACAAAATAGAATGGACCTGTTACTAGAGGTATTATGCCTAAGCCTGGTTGAGAAGGCTTTCATTGTAGATATGAGGGAGAGTACAGCCAGAGGCATCTGCAAGAGTCTAGACTGAACATGGGCAGCAGACTGAACTGGGCCGTGAGAGGAGTGGGGGTAGGCAAGAGAAGTAAGGAAGTGAGAGGGGCAAGAGAAGGAGAAGAACCCAGAGGACAAAGAGAATGTGTGGTCAAAAAGACAGATTTTATAGGGAAGAGAAGCTGTGGGGGAGAAAGCAAAGCTAGAGAGATTTAGGGTAGGGGATAGAATGAGAAAAGCAGAGAGGAGCCACAGGGAGAGTGAGCTTGGTGGCCAGTGTGCCCTTTGCATGTTGGTACATACCACAGTTAGCTATTTGTCCTGATTTTCTTTGGGACATGATATTAATTCCTATTGTTTGTTGATTTGTCATGTTTGGTACATTCATATTTAATTGCTTATCTGCTACTGTGGAGTAGCTTACTCTTTCTGAAGACTTCATGGATGTGTTTATATTTCTTTTCAGTCAGTAAAATTCCTTCAAATATCTTCTACTCTGCTGTCTTAGTAGTCATTAATTCCCATTGTTTCTGTTTGTCATGAAGGATAGTTTTGCTGGGTATAGTAATCCAGGTTGACATATGCTATCTTTCAGAGCTTGGAATACTTTCTCTTATGTCCCCCACCCTGGCTTTTATCTTTTGTGGATAAGTCTGCTGCTTTCTGATGTGGTCACCTTTGTGTGACTTAGTACTTCTGTCTTGAGGATTTCAATATTCTTTATTTGTTACATGTATTTGGTATTTTTATAATATAAGGCGGAGGGTTTCTTTTCTTGTCCTGTCTGTTTGGTATTCTAAATGTTTTCTGAGTCTAGATGGCAACCTATCTCTCTATGAATTCCTGCTATGAATTCATTTAATATATTTTATCTTTAGCTTGTACTTATTCTATATCCATGATTCATAAACTTGATATTTCAATGACATGCCAAAGAGCTCATGTTTTGCTCATATGTATTGTCTCTCTTAAAAAGATTTTAGGCCGGGCATTGGTGGTGCTCGCCTTTAATCCCAGCACTCGAGAGGCAGAGGCAGGCGGATCTCTGTGAGTTCGAGGCTAGCCTGGTCTCCAGAGCGAGTGCCAGGATAGGCTCCAAAGCTACACAGAGAAACCCTGTCTCGAAAAACCAAAAAAAAAAAAAATTATTATTTTTAATTATGTATATGTGTCTGAGTGGGTGTCTTAGGGTTCTATTGCTGTGAAGAGACACCATGACCACAACAACTCTTAAAAAGGAAAATATTTCATTAGGGTAGCTTATAGTTTCATAGGTTTAGTCCATTATCATCATGGTGAGACATGGCAGCATTCAGGCAGACATGGTGCTGGAGAAGGAGCTGAGAGTGGAGAAGGAGCTACATCTTGATCCACAGGCAGCAGGAAGAGACTGTCCACTGGCTGTGGCTTGAACACATAAGAGACCTCAAAGCCCACCCCCACAGTGATACACTTCTGCCAACAAGGTCATACCTTCTCCAACAAGGCCACACCTCCTAATAGTGCAGTCCCCATGAGCTTATGGGGGCCAATACATTCAAACTACCACAGTGAGATAATGTGCATATGAGTGAAGATGCCTTTGAAGGCCTCATAATCCTGTGGAGCTGGAGCTATAGGCAATTGTGATGTGCCTGGCATGTGCTGAGAACCAAACTTGTCTTCTATAACAGCAATATCCACCCTAAGTTGCTGAACTATCAGGCCAGACCCTCACACTTACCTTTATTGTAGTCTAAATGTTCTAATTCATCTAGTTTGTTTTCAATCTGCTATATTCTGTCTTCCAGTTGTTCATTTTATTGGTATGCTTTACACTGAATTTTCTATTTGACTTACTGTTGAAAGACCCCCGAAGAGGTACTTTCGTAGAGGGAGACCCGCACCCAGGAATCAGCGAGACCACGAACTTGGATGCAAAACCGCAAGAGGCTTTATTGGAGATACGGGTACCCGGGAGACTTAGCTTCTGTGAGGCCAAGCGCGCCGAGCCAAGGGAAAGGGGTCCTTATATAGGGAAAA